TCTCCTTGTTCTCCATGGGCTTGGGTGGTTTCGTGTAATTGGATAAAAATGCTCCCATTGCAGGCCATGGGTGGTTGGTTATTGGGTTAAAAGTAAAAATAATTGAGGTGTCATTTCTTATTTGGACAGTTTATCCTTAAAAGGCCTTGTAGAGAGAGAGAGAGAGATGGGGCTCCATTTTTTAGTTTGTTAGTGAAGTGCTGTAGAACTCAGTCTGTGAGACTGTAGCAGAGATAAGAACTAATAAACATCTAAGTCTGAGCACGAAATGTCATCTTGCAATTTAATCCTAACCTTGGCAGAAAAGAAGCAAAGAATGCAGAAAAAATGAGCTTCCCTCACTAAAAAGTGCCAGCAGTGGGTTTGAAGGCAGGGGGCAGAAGAGGTTTGCATTAGGCTTTGGTGCTGCTGTGGCCCAAGGTTAAGGAATAGCTCCCAAGGTGAGCCCAAAACACTCCACAAGCTGTGCAGGTGAATCAGACTGTTAGCTGTGCTTGCCATGAAACAGCTCAGAGATGTGAAACTGGGAATTTCACATCCAAAATCAAGTTGTTATCGGTCCCCTGATTTGGGGCCAATCCAGCTAGCCAGTATCCAGTACATTGCCAATCTCAAAAGTAGTCTAAACCCCAAATTTCTTCTTGACTTTCACATCTGGGGTCTCTTCTTCAGGAAGAATCTCCCACTCCACTCCCAAGAGCAGCATTAAGTGATGCTGCATCCAAAGCTCTTATCTTTAGAAGACAATTCACTCTAGCAATATCACTTATTAATGGTTAGTTAATGCCACTTCAACTTGGCAATCCCTGTGTTCACACAGCCTGTCATTTTAAACTCAAATGTTTGAATTTACAAGCGGAAACAGCTGTTCCTAACAATTTTCAAGGACTAGAGAGTGACAGGAATTGTTGCCCACTTGAGCAAACATGGGTTAAAAGGTCTTGCCTTTAAAAAAATTCCTGAAGGATTGAAGCAGCTTTTTCTTAAAAAAATCCCCACCTGTTCCTGTAGAGAACAAACAAAAACTACCACTACAGCACAAACACATTTAGCCCAGTTTTTCAAAAACTAAAATAGCATATGCTTTTTGCCATATATAGATGCTCTACTGATGTGCATGTGTTTCCTGGGGATGTCACTGTCTGCTTGGTCTAAATTAATTGGCATAAATTCAAATTCCTGCCTAATACAAAACGTGCCCAGATTGATTTTCCATTTTCAAATCAATAGCCACAAACTTTTCCTCCCATCCCGCTTCCTGCTTTTTCTTCTCTGCCATCAGAATTCCCTTTCACAACAACATTATTTTCTGATGATTTTCACCACTCTTACTCTGCCTCTGTCAGCCTGGAAAGGTTTTCCACAGGGAGTGAGCCAGGCTGAGGGCATGGGAAGGATGTGGGGGAGAAAATGAGTATTCCAAATCTTTTCCCTTAAATCCTCATCCACTGATCTGTGGGTGATGGCAGAGTGCAAGGGGACAGAACTTTGCTCCAGATCCTCTTGCAGGGATGAGGGAGACAGGTTCTCTTTATAAACTGAAAGGATGAGAACACCAGCACAACCTGTTCAGGTTGATGAGAGGAAAATATCTTAATTTCCCCCAAAAGCAAAGGGGAAGATCTGGCATTTCAGCCTTTTGCCAACAGCTGTTTTCAAGCTGCAAATATCAGTCTAGCTGCAGCATGTTTTGAAATTCACCAAAATCCACGTTTTGTTAGCAGAGCACATGTTCCTGTGGAAATGCACCTTTGGGAGGCACAGGGGATGTTACCCTGCTGTGTACTAAAAAAATCCATCTATTTTGGAATTTTTGGTCCTTGGTAAACCAAGATCTTTTCAATTCCTGGATTTTGGATCTTTGCTAAGGATTTCAGCACATGTGGAAGCTGCCCTGGTTTAAGCAGCGGTGGAAGAAGTTCCCTTCAGGGGGAACCTAAGGGATTCCTCATCCAGCAAGCAAACAGCACCATCAGCAATATCTGGTGCTTCTTCCTGCTTCCCCAAGCTTATTAAGAATATTTATTTTGACAAAGTCATGGTAACTGGGTGAGCCCAATGTTTGTTCTGTCTCTGAAAAGAGTAAACTGGGATCCTGCTGCCTTTTGCAATTAAATCTTTCATCACCTGCTAAGAAAAGCCATTTTTTTCTTTTTCCTCTCTTTATTTTTTTCAAACCTGTGGAAGAACAGGGCCTTTAGTGAACACCCAGGTCTGCCACAGATCTTTTTGTGTGACCTGTGCCAAACCTCTGCTTTGCTCTTTTTCCCTACCAAGCAGGAACATTACGTGCAATTATCACCTCGAAGACTGTAAGAAACACAGGACCCAAATTCCTGCCATTCTCCTGCTACCAGAGACAACCACACCATTTATTCCCTTCCCTAAACTGATTGCCCTCCTGTCTCCAAGAGGAGTTTTACTGCCAGGGGGCTGCTCACCACTGCATGATGCAACTTCCAGACTTAATCCCAGCAGCCTTGCTCCTTACACTGCTGCATCCATGCAGGACCACCAACAGTGGTTGTCTTCCTTTACTTTCTCCTCCAACCACCGCAGAAACTGGCTGAAGAAATGGCTGCTGGGCCAATTTTCAGCTTCATTTCATTTGTCCCTCCTTTTGGAATCTGGAAATCTGGAGGCATTTTGGTGCTGTCACCAATCCGTTCCTGCACCAGCAATAAATTCTGCACCTGTGGGACTCAGGGTTCTGCTTCTCTGTTCTGTCAGCATTTACACAGTGACTGAGCCTCTACTGCACCAACAGCTGATGGCTTCCCCACCTGGAAATATTTATTTGCTGTGGAAAACAAAATGTGCCATCAAATTGCACTGTACAAGGCCTTAAGCTTCCTTCCAGGTCTGCTGCTGGAGGGCTGAAATGATACACCTTTTTCTGGGTGGTATTTCTGTCCTGTCTTTTCTCTGCCATGCTAACAACTTTGTGTGGCCTTCAAGTTCTTGTCCATGTCTCCTCCAAGCATTGTTTGTATGTTTTTCATCATTCATCAGGAAGAACAATGTGGTCATGGAGTCCTGCACATATCAGTGCTTAAAATTAATAACACAAATTATGTGTTTTCTCTGGAAAATAATGGATTTTTCTTTTTGCACCAGCTGTTTCAACTCCCATGGCCCGGGAATGGTCTCTGCTTGTGCTCAGGGCAGAGATGTCACCTACAGAAATGAAGAATTTTTTCTTAGAAAAGGTATCACTTCGACCTTAACCACGCCCACATGGTGATCCTCAATGTTCCTCCAGCCACTGCCCTGGCAAAGAAATTCCTGATGCCAAAGTCCTCTTGGCAGCAAATCCTTTCCACTGGCAGCCCCCTGCCAGCCTGCCTGCATCCTGCTGGCCCCACTGCTGCAATTCCAGGACTTGTGTTTCCTCCTAAAGGCTCCTCCATCCCCAACCTCTGATGAGTTGGGATGTCTCAGGCAGGAGATCCCATCAAACCAAAGTTCTGCCATCACGGGGATGTCTCCATCTAATTTCATGAAGTTGTGCATCTCTTGGAGTGTAGCTGCAAAACTGGAATGTGTGACCCAACCAGCACCTTCTCCTGCTGTTTGAGGTCTCCCAAAGGAGTTGTCCTGGCTGATCTCTGCCCTGTGGGGTGCACCCCAGGAATTCAAACGCTGTTGGCACCTGAAGGGACAGGAGGATGTTCAGAGCAGCACTGGGTACTCTGCAGAGACTGTCATGGGCATTAAAAATGCAAAACCTGCATTCATATAATGGAACCATAGAATAGTTTGGGTTGAAAAGGGGCTTAAAGCCCACCCAGTGCCAGCCCAGCCACGGCAGGGACACCTCCCACTGTCCCAGGCTGCTCCAGCCCCAGTGTCCAGCCTGGCCTTGGGCACTGCCAGGGATCCAGGGGCAGCCCCAGCTGCTCTGGGCACCCTGTGCCAGGGCCTGCCCACCCTGCCAGGGAACAATTCCCCATTCCCAAGCTCCCAGCCAGCCCTGCCCTCTGGCAGTTTGAAGCCATCTCCTTTTGTCCTGACTCTTGTGACTTCTCTGGTTTTGTCTTCTATCCCTCCACTCCAACCCCAGCATTGTTCCCCAGGCTGGAGTTCAGGGATGGTCCAGGTGAAGGAATGATGGCATTTGCCATGGTAGCACCTTGGCCTCACAGCAGAGCCACCCCTGTGACACAGCTGCATGCATTTTGCAGGGTGTTGGTACAAAAACATTTTGGGGTTTGCATCAGTATTATAAAAATTCTCCAGAGCTGAATAACTTTGTCATTCCCTATCTAAATAAACAAGCATGGGTGACAGGTTTTTTTAGTGGTTTTTTTTGTTGTTTTTTTTTTTTTTTTTTAATAAGGAATGTCAGACCTATTTTATTATGCGTAATAGAAGGAGGTGAAAAAAAATCAATATAAGCACTGAATCTAACCTAATTAAAACTACAATCACAATGTTATCTGAATGTCTTACAACATTGTTAAATCCAACAAGTAGACAAGAAAACAACAAATCTATGCAGGGTTTTTTTATACATATGGTGAGAAAGTTTGCAAAGTGTTAAAATATATTTTCTGTTCTGTGTGTTTCTGGTACAAGGAAGTGATGTGTAGATTAGTGTATATTTATGAACAGAACCTTGACTTTTACAAGCAATAATCGACTTCAAAACATACAATGTATATCTTAAAATATCCCCTAAAGCTGCTCATATAAAGTCAAATCCAGCACCTACTAAAGTTCAGCCAGCTGACTCTTTGACTCCAGTGGGCACTTGACCAAGCCCATGGTAATTGTGAAGTACCTGACAGTCTAGTTGTATTCATATGAAAAAAATCACATTGCATAGATTTAAACAGGAAGACATGCAATAACAAGACAAGTCACAGTATAGCAAAACCTTGTTTCTTTGGTGAAACAGAAGCAGATATAAAAGTTACAAAGATTTTAGACTTTCATTCACAAAAAAAAAAAAAAACAAAACAAAAAAAAAAACCCAAAAAAAAAAAAAAACCCAGACATTCACATTATACACTATACAAGATAATAATATAAATAGAGAAAAGTATTATGTGCATTGTTTGGGGGTGAGGGGTGGGGAATAGACCGGCCAACACAAGGAGGTCCTGCCACAAGGGTGAGGAGCAGCCTCTGCCATTCCTCAGGGCCAGGGGACGTTGTCTGAACTCTGGTTTCAGCTGTGGCAAGGTCACTCCACGGGCAGCTCTGCCCTGGTGGCTGGGTTTCAATTCTTCTCCTTTCCCTCTCAGTTTTTCTGTCCCCATCACAACCCCACGCGAACACAGAGGCGTAAACCTGGCGCCTGTGTGTGTTTTTCATGTTACTTTAAAAGGTACATCCTAAGGAACTTACTTTATCTTCACGAGGGTTTTTTAACTGTTATTCCTTTTTTCCCTTTTTTTGAATTTTTTTTTTTCCACTTTTTTTTTTTTTTTTTTTTGTCCTGTGCCCAAAGGTGTGCAAGGCACTTTGCAGGAACAACAGTCCTTTCCGTGGAGAGGCCGTTTCAAACGTCACCTCCTACACTCACTGTACACACCCAGGTCAGTGGTGGCACTGACCAGGGCAAGAAATCATAAAAGAAAACTCCTACGTACACACTGCACCAAACTACAACCTAGAACCAATCTGTGCACACACTTCTTTAGAGAAAGCCAAGATCCTGATTCTTCTGTGGGTCACGCACAGCTCTCACCCATCTAGCCGCCAACAAATTATCCTGTTTAGCAGGAATTTTTGTTCTCCGGGGAAAAAGAGCAAGCTGAACTGAAAGATGGTTCCAAAAGTGGAGCTCAGGGGCTAATACTGCACTGGCGAGCTCTTTGAATCTTCTTTGAATGGGTAAAATAACATCCAATAAATTAAATCAGTATGGCTTACTTCATTTATTTATGTACGCTTCACAGCTGCAGCATTCATACACAAACATTCATTACTTTATAAAAAGATTAAAAAATGGTTATATATACAAAATTATTTACTTTTTTGATTTTTGTTTGTTTTCTACAAAAAAAAAATCCCCCAAACACCAGGTCTACCTCCATTTTAGAATGCAGAGACCTGTAATATAGACCTTGTGGTTAATATCATGAAAGTAATTTTTTTACTTGTTTCCTTTTTTTTCTCTTCTCGAAAAAACAAACAAACAAAAAAACCAAAACAAAACAAAAAAAAAGTGGCCCTGGTTGATAAAGTTAATGTATTAGCACTTGGAATTTTACAGGCTCTCCTTGTCATACACAACTCCTCCACACAGTCCTTTCTCACGTGTGCTGAAGCTGGAATGGAGAGCAGAAAAAACGTTCCATATTGCAGTCCCTAGTTCATGCTTCGTGCCACTTTTATGTGCTCTGTCTAAACTTTTCATCTCCTGGGACACAAACTGTACCTTGGGTGGGAATTGGCACAGCTCCCATTAAAAAAAAAAAAAAAAAAAAAAAAAAAAAGTCATGTCACTTGTGTGTTTATCTTCACCTGATAATTGCAAATTTCAGTCAGTGAAGTCTTTATTTCAACCATTTCCAGCCTAGGTAAACAACACAGAAACAACGTCATAAATGACTGAAGACCTCTGAGGCCGTTCTAACCATAAATATGCCTGAAATTAGTGTGACTTTTCATTTTATATACAGGATTTTAAAAACAACACACAGTCAAACAACATTAAAATCATCTTATTTACATTTTCATTGGTGCTAAAATTGAGCTGTTTAAATATTGCAGAAGGCTGGTACATATCATAAAATGGTCCACACCGATGGCATATAGAAAACTAATAATCTTTATAGGCTGGAAATGGTTTCCTTTTATCCCCATAAGCACTTCTCCTCTTTTTTATTTATTTCTTAAATTTTCTGATAAACACCGTAATTTCTATTTTTTTTCCTTTTTTTTTTTGCAAAACGCGTCGTGAATACTGCAGTCCGTAGTTTCAAAACGATTCGATAATACTCCTATAAGTGATAGAAAAAGGCACAGAAAGTTATGACTTTGGCTGAAATGGTGGAAATCCCCAATTCACCATTTAGCTCTCAGCGCCTCGAGTCCTGCCACGTCCTGATCCAGCGGTGGTAGTGCTTGGAGGAGTTTAACGACGTCCCCTTGCCTGATGAGGAGTGTTTGTAGTAGTATTTCTTAGAGTAAGTCCTTTGGTATGTAGAGGCTGCAGAGAGAAGGGAGAAAGGGGAAAAAAAAAAAAAAAAGGAAATTAGTTTACAATTAAACTGTGAATGGGCTGGCTACACTTCACAACACAGTTGCGTTTATTCTTGGTTAATTAGAGGGTAAACAAATGATTAAGTGGAGCTGTGGCAGTGTTACAGGCATACACACACAGCTGCAGAAAGAGTCATTAGCATTATTAGGAATCTGTTGATTCCAGGATTTTCTGACATTAAAATAATCCTAATGCCTTCTGGAATGATGCCTTAAGATTTCAGCCTTTGTATTTTTCAAATCCTGCACTGCTCTAGGGTATAACTCTAAACTGCATATAGAGTCTTAGTTACTGTCTTCACATTTTGGACAGACAACACAGCTCCTCTAGGCCTGAGGACAGCCTCAGGCCCTGAAAGTATAAACAAAAGTGAATTGGGAGGAGCAAACTGGGGGGAAATGACTTCATTACCTGAAGCTGGAATTGGAGGATTAACCCCTGAAATGCAAATGGACCAAACTTATAATTGTGTGAAAAACTCATGACCATTGTCCATCTTGGGTGTGGTCTCTGGGAGGCTTCTGACTACCCAAAATGTACCTATTGAAGGTCTTTAATAAATACCCACTTTATTCTCTTAATCTTGTCAAGTCGCTATTCTAGGCAGCCACTGCAAGGCATCAGTAGACACAGAAGAGGAAAATTTCCATTAGTTTTGGATGCTTGGTGTTTTTTCACCACAATCTGTCCTACCAGACTTGCTCCTCCCTTAAAATACACATTCATTACTTATTATTCTTAAACCAGCCTGCTGTTTCTGATTTGCCAGTGGTTTTCTTCCAGAGAACTCACGATTCATGCAAGTAATTTTGGGCATATCCCATCGTCCGTTCCCCTGGCAGCGGATGGTCGGGATGTGGCGCTGGATGAAGCCATCCTTGCAGTGGTATCTGATGAGGGAGTTGATCTCATAACGAGGCTTCATCTTCCCAAAGGTCTTTGCATTTTCCACAACAGGAGGCTGGCCACAAGCCACTGGAAGGAAGAGAGAGCATCACCTAAAAGTTTAGTTTGTGAGCCCAGTTTGAGCTGGGAGCAGCCTCTGAGCCCTGGCTAAGGGGAGGTGACAAGGGAGCTCAGCTGGACTCCCAAAGGAACATCCAGACAAGGACAGGGGCATCAGTCTGCCCTGTAGATCCCTAGTATTGTAAACCAAAACTAATAGTTTTGTAAATTGGAAAATGGCAGATGTTGTGGTCAGTACTGTCTTTTTGGTTTGAATTTTAATGTAAATTCAAGCCAAACAGTTGGTATACTCAGACCAAAAAAAACTGAAAACCAGTGAAGTTACTACAAGAATTTAAGGAAAAAGTCCTTATTTCAGGACTCTTCATGTCATCCTCAATGACATGTTCAAAAGGACTGAAAACTGATGGATCCATCATGGTCCACAGAACATGGTAAAAAGTACTGAATGGCAATTTAGCAAATTATGCTTTTGTCACTGCCAGGTTTGTACCTGTTCCTTTCTTGCAGGTATAAGTGAGGTGGTAATTGCACGGGACATCATTCCACTGCCCATTCTCATGCCAGATTATAACAACACAGTCTTCTCCAGCAGAAAAGAAGCTGTCTGGCTGGTTTGGTCTCCAGTTCTCATATTGCTGCAGAAAAGAGAGGAAAAACCATCATTCCCAGTGCTGGACAACACTTATATTAACAAAAGAGCACGTGATATCACCTGTGGCGAAAAGCAATCTCAACTGTTTGATTCAGGCTGCTGAGAGTGGGCTAAACAAGGGTAGAGTTATAATATCTTCCCACTATCTTAAAGATTATCTCAAGGGGAAAAAATATTCTGGTCTAACTTCTCATTTACTGTAAACTGACGTCAGGTGAACAAAACAAAGAGACACAAGCAAAACTGGGTCCTAAGTGTGTCAAAAATACTCTTTCCTACATAAATGTCATGAAGTATGATGCAAGAAAATAGAGTAAATATCCCATGACCCTCATTAGAGCACATCTACCAAGTGAGAAATTACAGACTAACTTCCCAGACTTGGATTATTTATGACATTGGATGATTTCATTCAGTTAATGAAGTCATTCCACAGGGATGACATGCAGAATTAGGTGCAACATGAGTGAAAGAGTCAGAATGTGGCCCACAAAACCACTGGAGATTGGTGTTTCAACTAAAAATGCTAGGTGGCAGTCTGAGCCCAGACTGCAGCTTCTCAGTTTTAGAAATGCTGATTCAAATTCTGCCCTCTGTTGAAAAACCAGCCTCAGACATCTATGAAAATATATGAATAACAGCAGAAAGTGCTTCTTCAAAATGCAGTACGTTTAGAAGTAGAAATATGGGTTGGGTATGTGCAAAACAAGCAAACAAACAAAAACTCACAAAATAACCTTCAAATGGCTGTGAAATACCAGCACAGTGCCATTTTTGGGTGAGAATTCGTGAGGATTCGGTCTGTTTTTACAATCACCCAGCAGGAAAAGTAGCAACACTTTTGTCAGATTGATTGAAACTTGTGCAGCAGTTCTTGTCAGGGGACACACAGCCTCCTGTCCTGGCAGCCAGCGGAGGTGGGATAATCCCTCACTTTGTTCCCAAACAAAGCACAGGAATCTAAATTTGCATAATGTTATGGCAAGAAAAGTGAGAGAATATTTGGAAACTACTCCTAACTATTTTCGATTTTCGCTGGGATTTCTGTTGTGTCACTCCAGGAAGAATTTAAGGAAGGATAAAAATAGATATCTGTAAGAACTGGAATTCACATAAATGCCAGACATTAACCAGGCAGCTAAGCCCCTTGTATGGGCAAAATGACACAGTTTCTGCAGTGCTTGTATTGTCCTCAGTGCTTACATCTTTCTGACTACAGCTGGCCCGTACAAATGTCATAAAAGTTTAGCTTTCTATTTTCTTAACTTTCTGAAATAACCCCTATTCACTGCCTGGGTGAACACGTTTCAGAAATAAAGTTAACATACCCCACACAAGTAGTATTTACCTTACAATGAATCAAACTATGAAAGGAAAATTAGTTAAATACTTAACCTTTTCCTACCACGTGTCATCTTACCCATCATAGGTTTTAATTAACCAGGCAATCTAACCAGCACACTCTGAAAAAATTTGTTCTGCACTGAATTTATTACCTCTAATAAAACATCCCTCTTTTCAGCTGGAACTAAATTAACTCCATCTCAACTTCTCAGTGTTTAACAGTCCTAAATTACAGTGCACACCAACTAATTTACTCAAGTTTAGGATCCAATTGCTTTCAACATGTGCATAGATACAAAAATTAAAGAAAACTGTAAGGCTAGTGGCAGAAAGTTTCATCAATAATCTCCTGAGAGCCAAGGAAAGATTTTAGCAAGCCTTGCAGCTGTTTCTTGTGGAAATAATACTGCAGAGCTGCCTGCTTCCATAGGGATGAGAGTGTGGGAATGAAGGATATTTAGTGGCTATTGGGGGCGTGTGAGCTGGAGGTGCTCAGCAGCCTGCCAGCTCCCACCCTCAGCACACAGGCTCCATATGCTCTTGCCTTGCCAAAATGACTCCAAAATTCGTGTTTGCTTAGCTGGCAGGGCCGCAGTGTAGTGGCAAAATGTTACATCTAGGCCCTGCGGTTTGTTCAAGAATGTCTGATATCCTCCAGCATGACTTGCTGTTACCTCACATCTGATATCGTCATTGCACAGATTTATTTTGGCTGAGGAGCTCTGATTTTGCCTGGGTCTGGTGCCAGAATTGCTTAGCAGAGGAAGTTCCAGACTGCTGAATTGCTTTCTTAGGTCCCCACCCAGCCCCTCTGTAGTTTTCCAGTTCCTTATTTAGACACTGATAATGGCACAATGATACAAGGAGATTCTCACAGTTTGAGTGGAATAGGCTACTCAACAAATAAGCTAATATTTTGCATTTCTCTTACAGAATACATCTTTGTATGAGCATAGACATGAATGTGGTTTCCACTGGTGTAGATCTGGGTGATTGCACCATCTCCAATAAACACATCTCAGCAAAAAATTAATAGGAAAAGACCTTTAGCAATGCTTTTGGCTGTATCATTCATAAGACAGAACCTAAATAGCATCAAATACTTGGTGAATACATGGAAGAAAAGTTGTTGTGGGGTGTTTAATCCTATCAGAAATATTGACACTGGGTAATTGCACAGAGTGACCTAAAAACCATCACTACTCTGTTTTTAAAGCAACATTACTGCAACAGACATGAATTTTTTCTCTGTATTAAAATGCAAAGTGCTTCCAGAATGTACATTTCTGGACATATAATCTTAATTATGTGCAAGGCACAAAATGTACCTCAGAGGAGGTTTGGCTGGCCACACTTCTCCAGCTGAGGTGGCTGTGGAGAGGGAGGTCCAGAGCAATCACAGAATCTCAGCATGGTTTGGGTTGAAAGGAACCTTTAAAATCATCCCATGCCACCCCCTGCCTTGGGCAGGGACACCTTCCATCAGAACAGGTTGTTCCAAGTCCTGTCCAACTGATACCAAGATAGGCTGAAATTTTTTATTCTCTGTGTTTTTTACCACAACCCATCCTTGATCAAGCACAGACCTCAGGCTCAGGCAGACACCACTGCACCACCCACTCTGAAAAGCTCTCAGCATCCTCGATGGCAGGGTGGTTGGGACTTTTCCTCAAAAACCTGACATTTCTGTGTTGCCAGAACCTAGTCCCAGGGACAGGGGTTTGGTCCTTGTACCTTCCTTTGGTCCTTGGGGAGTCTGCCTGACCATCATTTCAGGATGAGAAGTGGAGTTTATACTCTTTGTGCTTTTAATTGTACTGTAATAATTAGTTGATCTTACTTGTACTTTTTTGGTTTTATTGTTGAAATCAAAGCCTTCTGTGTCACACTGGATTTATTTGTTCTGGCTTTCTCTGCTAAAAGGCCTTGCAAATTTTCCTGCAGAGTGTGGATGGTCCATGACTTAGAGCTGGAGCTGAGTTTGGATTCAGCTCTTTAGGCTTCCTACGTGGCACTAGATAATGCACTTGGCTAGCCATTCACAGCCCATAAAACAGGAAAAAAAAAAACCTATTCTCTTGCCTCGCAAGAGGAGTTTGGATATGATGGCTTCAAAAGCCCATGAGAACGTTTTATTAAGTTCCACATTTTTGGGGAGGATTTCCTAATATGGCACTGCATAAACTCACAGTCCTGTTGGGTGGCAGGATGGCTTGTCACATGAAATGAGCTAAAAAAGCCAGGACGACAGCAAGAGCTGTAAAGCAGAAAGCTTTATTAGCCAGTCACTATCTATTCTCATTCAGATGGCTGCTAATTAAACAGAAGGGGCATAATCTTCCCATCATGGACAAGGTCCCACCTCGGGGGAGATTTGTTATTTAGAAGCTCAGATAAGCAGCCTTTCTTGACGGGTTCATTTCCTTACTAATGGGTAATCCACTCAGCTCTTTCAGGTGCTTGCACTGCCCAGGTGGATCCCGGGGTATCTTAGCTTTGGGACACTCCTTTGGAAATTTCAGCCCTTCTTTTATCTCCAAAAGGCTCATCAAGTGCCTGAGATCAATCACTTGGATTTTGCATTCCAAAATAGCCAACAAGCATTGTGTTTAACGAAGCACAATAAAAAAGCACTGGTGCCGAAAAAACTTTACTGCTTGACCTCGGTATTGTGTAAAGGCCAATATCTTCTCTATAGGACTGAATCTAGGAAATAATTTTCTTGAAATACATCTATTTAGATTTACAGGTTTAAGGCTTTTCCTTCTGGGGAAAGGAAACATGTTTTCAGCATGTTTAACTAAGCTATCTTTACAAATCTGTCTTGGCACTTTTTGGACCTTGCTGTTGTGAATTTTAGTTTCTTTCATTTTGGCTACTTCCTTATCTGATTCCTCCTTAATGCAAGACTAATGAGGCAAATTAGAGAAAAAAATCAACAATGGAAGAGGTAGATACTGGCTGAGTGGATACTTTCTGTGGCGTTTCATCTGAAAGTGAAGCAACATTTCCTGCCTAGTATTTATCACCACTGCAAACCTTACTGTCACCATTTTCTTCTCCTGCCGTAGCTCTGATAAGAACAGGAGTACAATTCTTTTTTTTTTTTTTTTTTTTTCCCCAACACAATAGCAGACAAAGCCTTAGTAATCTTTATCAGGAAAGGCCCTGAATGAGTCCCTCACTGTGGGGGTTGTTATAATTGGACAGCTTAAGTAAAAATTACATCTCACTTTCAGTGAGTCTCGGGAATTACTCGGTGGCTGAACTTCAACAAGATCAGCACGAGGTTACAATGAGCACATGCATCAGCCCAGGAAAGCTTCATTTGTGACTGTGTAACAGCACTGATGCTGTTACAGGAGACACTTGGGAAGTTTAAACAGGATTGCGTTTCTTTTCCATAGGAAAAAAAATCAACCAGATTTCTGTGAAGAGCTGGCAATATATGAGATAATTCCATTAAGGTGACCTAGTATTTAAATACATTTTTACATGGGAAAGACAATAAGCTATCTTACAGTGCAGGCTCTGTTCCAGGAAAATTCCCTGCAGTCCTGCAAAGGATTTTTCTGTTTAATTTTAAGAAAGGAAGCAGACTGACAGAACTCACCAAAAACGTTCTTGAGATTAAAAACT